TTTAGGCGGAAGAAGATCTGTCGGAGCTGTCACTTTTTGCCTCACAAGATCTTTCTGCTTCGTTTAAAGCGGTCTATGACCAACTTTTCCAAAATGATGATTGTTGTGATAGAAGTAAAACGGTAAGCGCAGTATTTTCTTGTTTGTTTTCTAGTTTTTTTTAGCATTTTTATCTTTTTTGAACCAAGGAGTTTGTAGGAAGAACAAATAGATTGGCTTAAGATTGGGATGGAAACGGCTGGAATAGACTATACAAATGAAGAAGATATACGTAATATGGATACTGGTAAATTCAATGGTGCGTTTGTACATAAACTCATTTCTCAGTTTGTTTAGTTTCTTAGTTAAGTGAATTAAAGCCTGAATCTGTAAAGCACCCCTATGACAAGGAATTCATGACATAATTTAAGCGGGTTTTTGATATTGCCGATGTAATTACAGCTCTTAGTTAACAAGACAAATTGTTGCTCTTTCTTTCTTTTTTCTCAAATGTTGAACCACCGTACGTTCCTTTTACGTAACTAGGCATTTTTTCATGTGTTCTTTTTTCTTTCTGTCTATGTCACCTTTACTGTCGGTAGCCTTCCTTTTTGTTTATTGATAAATTACATTAGTGATGTTTGAGCTAAAGTCTTTTTCTACTGTGAATTGCAGATTACATGGCCACCATGTTCCCACAGTGTATGAACTTCCGATCGAATCAAGCAGGCTATGGAAGCAATCGATATCAATCAATAGCCGCACTTCAAAATCCTGATCTAGAAGAGGAGTCAGAAGATGAGTTCGATTGGAGCACTATCACATAAAATTTCTTCATCCTTGTTAGTTTGTTCTAGCTTTGTTTATCACATATTTTTATATTCATTGCGTTCTGTAATATCTGATAGATTTATGCCGGTTGTGTACGGGTAGATGCATGTTTGCGTACGCAACGCGGCTAAATCTGTATTGTTCTGAAGGCAAGTTATTCTTCACGTTTGTGTTATTTTGTTCCAAAGACTTGATTAGGAGACCAAGTTTAAGTCTCCCTTACCAGCATTGTTATTTTCTCCTTCTACTTTTATTTGTACTCATCTTATTTTGTGCAGGTCACTATTTCCGGTTCATGATATTTGATGATGACTGTAGAAGGAATTTCTATTTTATTAATTTTGAATAAATTTTTCCTCGGTTTTTTGTATGAAATCTAATAGGAATATCCCCGTTCACATTCTTACTTACACATTCATCAATTCATATATTTTTTGAATAACTTTCAATGTGTAGCGGTGTGATTGCACACTATATATCAAATCTAATATCGCGAACGTCAAACTTATCATGAAGCAGAGCGCTTTCTTTGTTTATTTATAACGCTTCGCGTTGTGCAGGGTATATTTTTTGTTGGTTGCTGTGAAAATATGGCATTTGTATCGTGTTTTTTTT